CAGACCTCACTGCCTTGTTTTGTTTTTCCTCACAAAAGCATGATATTTGTTGCTCTTTTAATTTCCTGTGTTTCTCCCTTACTGAAATCTCTGGACATTTCACCATGCAGATTCACAAGTTCTCTCACTCTGCCCCTGACTTTGTTACTTTCTGTTGCCCTCACAAGTTTTATATTATCTCAGGAAAATCCCCCTCTAAGCTCCTCTTATGTTTTTGAGTCTTCAGAATTTCTAAACTTATATCTGAGAAATGAAAGATCACCTGGAGAGAGAAAGCCATATTTTTCAAGTGTCACCGAACATAATGAAAATCATTGCCTCCAACACCCTAAACCCTGGCCAAGTCACCCAAAGGTATCTCAGAATCGCCAGGAACATCTTCCTCATTCTCTGTCAGCCACATTTTCCTTAGGCAGCAACCTCTGAGGATGGTATGGTCATCGTGATTGCATTTGGAATCATGAAGTAGCATGCCTAAGGAGTGGTTTCTATTTGGATGACCCCTGGGAGCTCTTCCTCTTCTTATTTCTTTAGAGCAAGTGACTTTGGACTGAAGTGTGAACCAAAATAAACCTCCCCTCCATTAGGTTGGGAGTGTTTGGGATTTTGCCCCATGGATAAGGAATGTGACAAAGAAAAGCAGTTCATAAGAGGGGGGCTCTGACTTGATAGCATTAATGTCCTTAGCAGGGACACCTGGAGCTCATTCTCTGTGTGTGTCTGTCCCTCTCTTCTCCCTTCCTGTCTCCTCAGGTGAGAGCACAGCCAGAGGCAGTGGTCTGCCAGGCAAGAAGACAGCCCACACCAGACAGAACCCTGCCAGAATTTGACATGGGGTTTCCGGATCTGTGAGAAAATAAATATCCATCCTTCAAGACACTCAGCCCATGACATTATTGTCATGGAGACCAAGCAGACCAAGACCCAGTATGAAAATAAATCGGTTTCTCTTGCAATTTTCTTTATGTTTAAAAGCAAGGCACTGTATCAAAAGTTTTAAAATTATTTTCACTACAAGCATATGGCCTTCAAAAAATATTAAATACTTAACAGTTTTCTAATAAAGAGAACTAGATAAACTACATCATTTCTGCAACATTTTTGAATATGAGAAATGACAGTACCTTCCTTTCTTTCCCTTTAGTTGACACATATTTCTCAGTTTATTGGCAAGCTGAACAGGAAGAGGCTCTGTTCTACACACATAAACTCTCAGGACATCTTAAACTTAAAATCCAAAGCATTTCAGTGCTCGGTTGTAAAAAGCACTGAGAAATGATCACATACTGTTTTGTCTATCGGATTGTTGGTAATGACCTGTGAGGTACATTCTATGCCCACACTGAGTTTACTGAATTTATTCTTTTCATTTACATTTATTCACTCTTCTGCAATATTTTAAATTGACAAGAGATAAAAGGTTTTATCTACAGAACCCATGACAGAATCCCAACTCAAGCCAGGTTAAATCTAAAATAAATAAGCATAAATTTAAAAAAAATTTATATGCTAACATAATTTCTCAGCTGAGGGAGAAAGTACTGATAGGATAGATGAGATGGAGTGGCATTAAAAAGAAAATGCAGGCCATCCTCTCCTCGGTTCTGCTTCTTTGTGTTGACTTCTTCCTCGGGGAGGCTCCCTTTAAATAACGATAAAATACTTCTCAAACCTGGCCTGGTGGTACCAACCTGTGATCCCAGCACTCTGGGAAGCTGAAGCAGGAGGATCACAAGATCGAGCCCAGCCTGGACAATTTAGTGGCTATGAAGACCCTGTCTCAAAATTTAAAAACAAAAAAATAAAAAAGGGCTGGGGATGGGGATATAACTCAGTGTGGAGTTTCTGTATTTTTTCTTTTTAAGGCTGTTTCTCTGCAGTGATAAGTTATTTTATTATTCTCACAGTTAGAATCCCAAAATATGAATGTACTTTTCTGCAAATAAACACAGCAAGGGCCCTGGGCCCAATGGTCCAGGTCAACCCTACCGCAACAACTTAGTCCAGGTGAACAAAGAACCCTAGTGGCTCAGATGTGACACTGTGTCCATCCTGGGAGTGCAGCTTCAGATCAGCCTTCCTCAAATACGAGCACAAAGGGTTCCTTGCAGAGAAACTGGACTCTAGGGGTAGTGGGGAGAGGGGCTGAGAAATTCCCTCCCACCCTAGTTCACATCTCTGCCTGCCTTAGGTTCATGTTGCTTCACCAACCCTATTGAGATCCAAAATATGCAAACCCAAAGTGCAACTCTCCGCTGAATTAAAGTTGAGAGAAATTTGTACTTTTTTCTTGGCTGGTTCATTCTCAACTATGGGTTTTTCTCCATCATAAGGCAGAGTATGTCATGCATAAAAGTTATTCCCCAAATCCACCACTGTCAAGTTTTAGTGATATCCGGTACCAGCAGGGAAGACAGATTTACCTCATCCAGATGCCAGAAAACACATGCAGGTACCAGAATTCATGGCCTGTGAACCTAAACTCACTTGGGATATTAAGTTGCACACTATGGATCCATCATATGTGGGGGGAACCTCCTACATCAACCTCCTTTCCTACAAAATAGGTTTGAGATAATACTGCCTTCTGGAAAAACCATACATTTGTAATAAGAACAATCCAAACACCAGCTCTCATCTGAGAGCCCTTTCAGTTTCCACACTGTGGATCCTAGTGGATTTCCTCTTCCCCTTTGAGTTCCAGGTACCCAGCATGTGGGTGGCTGCAGCCCTGGGGACTTTTCCAGTGGCCCCTGATACTGTCTCTCTGCTTGTGTCTAAGATGGACCTCTGAAGTAAGCCACCACATGTCCTCATTTTTACTTCAGTTGGAGAAACTCCTTTTTCACATTTCCAGGCTGAAGCCTTTGTGATGCTTCTCAGTGCCACGCTCCTGGAAGAAACCAGTATCTCTGCTTCGTGTGCCTGTGACACCATCCTTCTTGCTCTTCCCTGCTTCTAATTCTGCAACGTTCTCAGACCTGTTCCTTGGAGCCTGAAAGGCTTTTGCCCCAGATGGGACACCCTGTAGCTGGTGGGAGCCTGGGAGGTGGAACAAAGGGGCTCTATCTTGAGGTCATCTTCCCGCCCCTAGGCAATTTACCTGTGGTGCCAAATGAATACAAATGGGCTACCAGTGCATCACTAATGCCCCTTAGGCACCACCCCAAACCTAAGCTACATGTATGCCCCCACACCACATGTCTGGCAGAAAGAATGCCAGACCCCGGAGGGTCATGAAGTCTCTCTCCACATTCTTAAAATAAAGGCTACTTTTATTTCATACTTCTTATCTTTTTAGCCATGCCGAAAATTGTATATCTGATGGTTCCTTTCCACGCCGAAAATTCTATCAGAGCCACTGGCAACCCCTGCTTTCTTATCTTTTGAGTTGCTTTGAAACTCAGGGCCTCTAAGACTTTCACCTCCGAGGCTGTTAATTCAAGACTTTTTACTCACATCCTCTTTCACAATGGCTACACTTACAAGCACTTGCATCTCTTCCAGAGCCCTTATGTGCTTAGGACACTGCATCCTGCCCAATCTGGGGAGCAGTCCAGTTTGGTTGAAGCCAAGCTGCAGGCAGGGTCAGTTGCTCCAGCCAAAAACATTACAGACAAGGTATAGCCCTAAGCTAGTCCAGTTAGGATCAATCGCTGGGGGTTTGGTTGTAAAAGCAGAAAAAAGCACGTTTTCTCCCCCTACTGGTCAAGAGAACAGGATCCTCTGTCTGTCAGCTCCCATAGCCATGGAGGAGGCCATGACAGTTGTCCTTGTTATCCAAGTGTCACCTTGGAGGACTCCTGTTCCTGTTAGAGAGTCTCTGATCGAGCTAGCTGAGGGACTTTCCTTCGAGAACAGAGCTCTGTGTCTGCAGTATGCTCCTTTCTACCCACACACACTCACCAGTGGAAAAGCCCTGGCCTGCAAGCGTGGGTTTTATTTTCCCCAAAACCCAGAGGTTACTCAGAACCAAGACTAAATAGGTAGGAGATCAGTCTGAGCAAAAGTATTTTTGAGTTTTTAAAACCAAGGAGAACGTTTTACATGGTAGTGGTTTTCTTGTTACTGAAGCGCTGACCCTTAAGTATCTCTCTTTTTTGCGGGGGAGAGGGGAGTGAAACCACTTACTTTTAGGATGAGAAGAAAATGTTTTCATGTCTTAATTGCTTCTTATTGAGCTCTGGCTTTTCTCTGGCATTCTTAAATATTTGGATTCAAAAGAAATTTCAGAGTCGCTAGTTTGGGGGTGGAGAAGAGAGGAAAAAAACAACTTTCATACCTGAATATTCTGAACATTTCTTCTTCAGGGATAAAATTTCTACTTTACTTTGTCAAATCGCCAAGGCAATGGGAGCCTTACACTTTAACACCTGTTCGTGACATCACAGCACAAGCCATGTAGTGCCAGGATGATTCCAAGCGGAAAGCATACTTGGCTTAGCTTGGCGCAATCAGCCAGCCAGGACACAGGGCCAGATGGCTGTATAGCCGCAGCCTCACACAAATCGTATGCACATTTGGAGTTCCTATTTTACAGAATTAACCATCATTATTTCTTCTGACTCTCAAAACTGCTTCTCTATCTGTTCCAACATAGGAGATGCATATAATAAATCCTGACAAGAATCACTTAATCCATTTCAGTCCTCCAAGAAGTACTATTCCCAGAACAATCTAAGGATAACAGATTTGGTCCTACTTTTTAAAATATCTCCAGTGAGTTTTCATCGGTAACTTAATTCTGAATCAAAGATTTTTAAAAATCTGGGTTTTTGGTTGTTCTTGTTGTTGTTAAAACAAATACTGATAACAATTATTTTAAGATATCACTGATATCTTTTTAAAATAAGGATGACTAAATTAAGGCTCTGCTTTTGCATTAATTTCTTTTGTCTTAAAAAAGTATATGAAAGGAAACAAGAACCAGGATATAAATTCAATTGCAAATAATGCCTCGTGTACAACGTGGGAAGCAGAAAGCTAAGCTACCAAACGAATATGGCAATGAACCATAAAGACTGCAAGATATTTTATTTGTCAAAAATACTGATTAAAATTGACTCCGTCTTGAAAAAGAGAACAACACTGAAGTGAGATACGGAGAGCTTAGGGGTGGCAGCGTGATTTCCAGCAGCAAGGAGATAGTAATGGCAGTGATGATGAATTGGGAAGTGAGAGAAGGCTGAGGCAGAATAGCTCTCAGAGCCAAAGAAGATAGGAGTCTAGCCATCAGCGCAAATAAAAGCTCGGTGTTGGGATGAATCATGCGCATGAAAGATACATCTACAGAAGAACTAGATGGGAAATTCCGGGACTAATCCAAGTGCGGGGTTTCAGGAAAGAGTAGAACATAAAAGCCTCATCATCTAAAGCTGGCTGCCCACCACCTTCCGTCCCATTAAGCAGGAAAGTTGGAAGAGCTACGCCCCTTCTCCCTGTCTTGGCTTAGGCCTCACTGGCTGTCTAAAGAGACGGGGGCGCCTGGGATTAGAGCGAAAAGAGCTTGTTGAAGCAGGGCTGGCAGTAGGTCTTGTCATTCTGCTCCCGGAAGACGCCCTTGGACAGCTGAGTCAGGCAGAAGGCACACACGAAGTGCTCGGGGTGGAACCTGTGCCCCATGGCGCTGACGCAGCGGCCAGTGATCGGCTGCCCACACCCTCGACACAGGGTGCCCCGTCGCTGGTGGTAATGCAGCTCGCAGAACGGACGCCCATCCAGCTCGAAGAAGGAGCCGGAGGAGAAGCTGCTAAAGCAGTCCTGCGCGTGGAGAGAAGACGGGGAAGGTCAGCAAGTCCAACTGTCCACCTCAGGTCTCCCGCCAAGGCCTGCCATTTGCAGGAGTCCCCTGTAGGTCTTAGCCAGAGGAAGCCCACCCCGTCGACTTGGAGAATGCCTCGCCCACCACAGAGGGGATCCTCTACTCCAAACCCAAAGGCAACTGAGGGTACCAACCGCGCACACGAAGCACTCTGGGTGCCACACTGTATCCATCGCCGACAGGTAGTTTTCCAGCACCGGGTGGTTACAGCCACTGCACCTGGGCGAGAACATGGCCAAGAAGTCCTTCCGGCAGTATGGCTTCTTGTCCTTCTCGTGGAAGCCTGCGGAGAGAAGACCGAGGGCACAAGGCTGCAGGGCGGGGGCCTTCCACCCTCGTGTATGCACAGAGGAGGTCGGGGTCTAAGGTCCACCAGCCTGCACCCAAGCACGGAGGGGAGACAGGGCAGCAGGGTGCACAGATAAAGGGCCTCAGCACTGCGCTTGGATAGCAGTGAGCCCTGGACAAGCCCGGGGGCAACTCCTCTTCCTAGGCCTGCACAGCTCTGCCCTGACCCTGACACCCCTGCCTTTTCTTCTGACTGAGGGTCAGCTCCAGTTCATCAGAGAGCCAGCCCTTCAGTTCCTCTCTTTCCCTTCCTCTTTTTCACTGTTTTTATAGCCCTGTTTTCTAACATTTTCCATTATCTAAAATCACCTTGATGGTCTCTCTTCGCCTACTGCATGTGAGCCCTAGATAGCGTTGGTCTTGTGACCACTAAACCCCTGTATCTGGCACAGCATCTGAGGGGAAAATGTCTGATATTTTATGAAGAAATACTGCTAAATAGGGGGCTGGGGATTTAGCTCAGCGGCATAAGCGCCTGCCTTGCAAGCAGGCAGTCGTGAGTTCGATCCCTGGTACCGATAAAAACGAAAAAAGACCAAAAAAAAAAAAAAGAAATACTGCTAAATTATAACTTCCAAATGGATGCAAGATCTAAATGTAATAATTTAAACCACATATATACTTCAGGTGAAAATGGAAGGGGTTATCCTTCTGGAAAGGAGAAACTGCACAAATGTGTCAAATTTCAAAACTAAGTTGACTGATAAAATTAATTATATGAAAAGTGAATGACTTAACATGTTTAAAAATGCCATAAACAAAGTCAAAGACAAAGGACGAGCTGAGGAGAATACTTATTAATACTATCTTGAAAAAGATGCTAATACAAAGAGGTTCTAAATATGTGTATGATTTCCATTATTGTAGTATAAAACTAAAAAGTGAAAAAACTAAAAGCTCCCCAAGATTGAATCCAGGAACAAATTAACTGTAAATCAAACAAATGACAGGACCAAAGAAAGAAAATTAATCACTTCAATGACTTTAGAATATAGCATTTTGACCAATGCTAATGAATATATTCTAAAAACAAAGGTGGCTACAAGAAACATTCAATTGTTTCCATGTACACTGGAAACTTTCTAAGAGAGTAAAATTGCTATGCTTTTACCACACTAGAAGACAGCTATGTCAGTGTGCTTAGCTTTAGTGACTTAGTTCATTACATCTATCAAAACATGTGGTAGCTGGGGCCCCTGACATATGTCTGTAATCTCAGTTATTCAGGAGGCTGAGGCAGAAGGATCCCAAATCCAAAGCCAACCTGGACAATTCAGAAAGAATTTGTCTCAAGAAAGAAAGAAAGAAAGAAAGAAAGAAAGAAAGAAAGAAAGAAAGAAAGAAAGACAAAAAGAAAAAGAAAGAAAGAAAGAAAAAGAAAAAGAAAAAAAGAAGGAAAAGGGAGAAAGATGGAGAAGGAAAGGAAGGAAAGAAGGGGGGACAGGCTGGAGATGTAGCTCAGTGGTAGAGCTCTTATCTAGCAATATATGAGGTCCTGAGTTCAAGCCTTAGTACTGACAGTGTAACTCAGTGCAGATGCTGGAGGCTGAGTCCTCAGTACAAAGACACACACATAGAGCTGGGTGTGGTGGCTCATACCTGTAATCCCAGCACTCAGGAGGCTGAGGCAGGAGGATCACTGTGAGTTCAAGACCAGCCTGGGCTACAAAGTGAGCTCAAGGCCAGCCTGAACTGCACAGCAAGACCCTGTCTCAAAAAGACAAAAACAAACAAACATACACGTGCACACACACACATGCACACAAAGCTCACAACAAAAACATCACATGCTGTGCCTTCAATATATACAGTAAAAGTAATCTGGTTACTTGCAATACTTATAGTATTTTTTCAAAATGATTATAGATAGGTTGCATGATAAGGCAAATTACATTAGTGCCTTTGGAAAGCAAGATTTCCAGTGTAAAAATATGAGTATAAAATCTAATAAATAAGAAAAATGTTTTAATGTTTCACCAAAATAATAATCACTATCAAGTCACAATTCATTTCTTCTCTCCTTAAGAAAACAAGGGAGGGTTGTTTCTAAGCCCTGCCCGTTCAGGATGTTTCTGGGCACATACTGCAGCACTCTCCCAGGGAAAATGCAGGGCTGTGAGCACGGGTCAGTGCTGACACCAACAGTGATGAGGCTAAGGCGTCTCGCAACACACCCAGGAAATGCGGACCATATCATACACTCCTGGGTTGCGTGGAAAGGACATGGTAACCAACGTGAAGGGCCACCTCTGGTCTCAGATAAAACCACCTAAAAAGTGTCAAAACAACAAAACACAAAACACTGATCAAATCAAAGAAGTTCATATAACTGCATAAGTTCACAATTTTTTTTTTAACTAAAAACTCAAGTCTCTAATTGAGTGTTGCAAACACAGACTCAATGTTGTTACAAATTCTTATATAATGGGAAAGGATCAAATATATATCCTACCTTCCCAGAATGAAATATATTTCAATATAATGAAATGGTCGATGATAGGAGGCTTTTATAGAAGCCCAACTAATAAATACAGAAAGAATGATGAAATTTTCAGCATTTTGCTACTCAGAACATTGGACTAAGTGATAATCATCTATGGAGCATTTTTATGGAAAAAAGTAAGAAAAAACTTCATTACAAAATAATAGAGGAATAACAATAGTCAATACATTGAGCGTTGTCTTTAAAGTAATCAGCACACAAAACACAGGCTTTAAAAATTCTCCAAACCATACTAGCACAAACCTTTCTTTTCAATGCAATGGAGAATTTTTCATTGGAGAGATAAGGCTCAATTCTCAACAAAGCAAGCAAATTAATTAATTAATTAAAATTTTAGAATACACAAAATGGAGGGATCAAACTGACATGGCTCAAGCCAGTGTTCAATCTCAGCATCCATAAAAGGGACCCTAAGCTGCTTGATATGATTCAATAAGCACAGCATACTTACCACCCGTACCAGACTTGTGCCCTCCCTAACCTTCCCAAACTGCACTTAAACTCGATCAAGTCTGTAGGTCTAAATAATTACAGAGAAGAAAGGAAAAGAAAGGGAGGAAGGAAAGTCCACAGTCTTGTGAGGAAAGAGCCAGTCAAACCAAGAAGCTTTGGCACTTATGGAACATGTTCTGAGTATAAAATGTTAACATGGAATGTGTTAGGAGTAAAACTCAATAGTATAACAGACTTGGGAAAACAGCGCTGTTACAGAATTTTAAATATTTGAGACACAAAAGAGCCAAATGGAAAATAGCCCTTGCTTGGAGCCTGATTCAAACAAATCAAGCCATTGAAATGTTTTTTGAATTTTGAGAAACGTGAAAGCATATTTTAAAGGGTAATAAAAACTATTAATTTTGTTAGGTACAAAGGCAATTTATTTTTAAGTCCTTGTTGATTAACGATGATGTATCTGCAACTTATGATGGAATGACATGATTGCTCAGATTTGGTTTTTGATATCCCAGCAAGAAAAAGTGTGAATGGGTGGGAATAGAAGAAGTCAGTTTTTAGAAGAAACCTACTGCAGTTAGGTAAGGAAGGATTATTTGAGCCTCAATTTTTCCATAATAAACAAGTTTCAGCAGCAATGTGTTGAGGTATAAGCACTTTCTCGGTAATGTATAAAAACTTTCCCATTAGCACACTAGAACATTCTGGTCTTACTGAACCCATGTCCAGATAAGGAAACAGCATCAAATGTGAAAAACCTATAGTAATTATTTCTCTTACCCTTTCAAAGTAAGTACATTTCACAAATAGACAACGTGCAAGGAGAAACGCTCTTCACTGTAATGTGTTGGTCATCACAAATAAGCCATGAAACTAGAGTGGGGAAAATGAAGTTCTAATTTTTGCTAGTAGTTTAGTTGATAATTTTAGGTAAATATGCTAAAATATATATATATATATATTATATATATATATATAAAACCATTGTTGGGAAATACATGGGATGATCCACATAATCATATATTAATGATAGTAAAGTTAACTGACAATCACTCTTTAGAAAGTTATTTGGTAGTGCACATGAAGAATTAAATAGATACCTCAGTCCTGGGTATTAAATCCACACAAATTGTTTAAAAGATGAAGACACCTTTAAAGATATTCATTGCAACACCACTAAAACATCAGAAATAATCTAAATATGAAACACATTTAGCTGTCTCAAATACCTGGAACCATAAATAAAGCTCCAGGGAACATCTTTCAGCACATACCATTTTACCTTTCTTTCTTTCTTTCTTTCTTTCTTTCTTTCTTTCTTTCTTTCTTTCTTTTTTTTTCCTTTTTATCGGTACCAGGGATTGAACTCATGACTGCCTGCTTGCAAGGCAGGCGCTTATGCCGCTGGGCTAAATCCCCAGCCCCCCAATTTTTTTTCTTTTCTTTTTTTTTTTTATATTTTTATATTTTTACCGGTACCAGGGATCAAACTCACGACCACGCGCTTGCAAGGCAGGCGCTTATGCCGCTGAGCTAAATCCCCAGCCCCCATTTTACCTTTCATAATTTGCAAAGATTGCTATTTTTTAAATTACTCTAAAAATATAAAATAATATGGAGAAATGCTTGATTAAAAAGAATTTGTGGTATATTGTAGCTTAGGCATGCACTTAAATATAAGTAAATGCAGAAAAATATTCATAAGCAAAATTGTTTTTTTTTTTTTGCTTCAATAGGATAATAAATTATGCATGAAATTTTCCATAATCTCTTTATGCTGTCTTTACACTGAAAAAAGGAAAACAATGTGCAAGGTTGTGAGTTTGAACCCTGGTACCAAAATAAAACAAAAGAAAAAGAAAAACAGGGCTGTTGAGGAAGCTCAGTAGCGTAAGTGCCTGCCTGGCAAATACAAGCTCTGCAGTTAAATCCCTGGTACAAAAATACAATATCTAATTTTTTTTTGTATTTTTCGTTTT